GTTGCAGCAATACAAACATGTATTCATATAACACAATATCTTGTACAAACGAAGCTTTTCACCCTTTCCCGAACTTTCCAGGGCTCTTTTTGTAGAAAAAGCCCAGCAAGAACTCATTAGCATAACAGGCCACACCCAACAGCAGAAACCTATTAGCATATTAGGCCACACCCCTGACAGCACAGCTCATTAGCACATTAGGCCGCACCCCCATGTTACCAGAAGTGTGCTCATCCACCACACCCACCTTTTGCTTCTTATTCTGTTGACCTTGTTTGTGGTCAAAACCCAGGGCTTTTTTGTAGCAGGAACTCCTTTGCATGTTAGGCCACACACCCCTAATGTAGCCAATCCTAATGAGTTTCTGCGGTTGGGTGTGGCCTATTATGCTAGTGAGTTCCTGCTGGGCGTGGCCAACTCGGGAGCCAGCTGGAACTCCGTTCCTGTGCGTTCCTGCCCAAAAATAGCCCTGGTGATGCCCCCTTTGGCCCTGGTGCCCTAAGCACGTGCTTAGTCTGCTTCATGGTTACTCTGCCCCTGGCGCTCTCCGTCTGAGGGGCAGCAGCTTTGCCTTCGGCACGCCTGCAGTTACTAAGGAAAGGGGACGAGACGAGGGACCCAGGCCTGACCCCTAACTCACTTGCTCCTTCTGGTGTCTCGTCCGCAGACAGGCTGCCATTCCGCAGCGGCATCGGCAGCCACTTTGTTGACAAGGAACATGTTGAAGCCGCCTTATGCTGAATCAGACCCTGGGTCCATCACGGTCGATACTGGCTACTCAGAGAGGCAGTGGCTCTCCAGGGTCTCAGGCCGAGGTGTTTCCCATCACCTACTGCCTAACTGGAGATGCTGGGGACTGAGCCTGGGACCTTCTCCACGCCAATCAGAGGCTCTGCCACTGAGCCACAGCCGCAGGGAGGAACACGGTAGCGTGGAAAGAGCCACACGTGACTGTGTGGTGTGAAACAATCCCCTGGATCGCAGCACGGGAAAGGAAACACTCATCAAGGAACGTGAAAGGGGGGCGGGGGATGGTGCATCGAAAGAGCTGTCTGGTGCCATCAGGTGCCGGGGGAGGAGCAAGGTGTAATTAGAAGGGGGGGGAAACCTAGAGCCTGATCTCATGAAGTCCCTGCAGAGATGCAAACCAAGTGCTCATTATAGACTGCAAATGAGTCCTGGAAGGGGAGGGTTGCCAGATCCAGGTTGGGAAACTCCTGGAGATTTTGGGGATGGAGCCTGGGGAGGAGAGGGGACCTCATTGGAGCACAGTGCCACAGAGTTCACCCTCCAAAGCAGCCATTTTCTCCAGGGGAACTGATCTCTGTCGTCTGGAGAGGAGCTGCAATGCTGGGGAAAGGAAACACTCATCAAGGACCGTGAAAGGGGGGCGGGGGGCGGTGCATACAAAGAGCAGTCTGATGCCATCAGGTGCCAGGGGAGGAGCAAGGTGTAATTAGAGTATGCTAATGCATTCCTGCTGGGTGTGGCCAACTTGGAAGCCAGCCGGAACTCCGTTCCTGTGCGTTCCTGTCCAAAAATAGCCCTGGGGGCATGTAAGGTTGCCAGATCCAGGTTGGAAAACTCCTGGAGATTTGGGGGTGGAGCCTGGGGAGGAGAGGGGACCTCATTGGAGCACAGTGCCACAGAGTCCACCCTCCAAAGCAGCCCTTTTCTCCAGGGGAAACTGATCTCTGTCCTCTGGAGATGAGCTGCAATTCTGGGGGATCCCCAGGTCCCACCTGGAGGCTGGCATCCCTTGTGGGATGGATGTAACAGTAGCAGAACAAGTGGCAGGGCTGCCGGCTCCTGGGCTGGAAATCCCCGAGGATTTGGAGGCGGAGCCTGGGAAGGAAAGGGTCTGACGAAGGGAGGGGCTTCAGTAGAGTATAGTGCCGCCCTCCAGAGCAGCCCTTTTCTCCAGGGCAACTGATCTCTGTCCTCTGGAGACCCGTTGTCATCCTTGGACGTCTCCAGGCCGCACCTGGATGTTGGCAGCCCTACCAGGTAGTCAAGTTCATCCTGAGGCTTGTTACTTTGAAAAGAAATAGTTCTTTGTTGTTGCAGAGAGTTCCAGACAAGATAGGAAAGGCGGTGCAAAGGATTCTGGTTGTCTATCTAAGCTTAGAGTGCGGAGGGATTGTAGAAAGCCTTCCAGCCTTCCAGTGGTGGATAAAGAGAGACTAACAACGGGCCACTTTATCAACTATTTACACTTTTTGTGGCAAGGGCAAACTCCGAGGGCAGAAATAGGCTGAGCTGGTTTCGACATCCTGGTCTGCTCCTCATTAATAGAACAGCACAGATGGGAGTTGTAGGGGCAGCGCTGGTGAAGTTCCCCGGAAGTAGGTGGAGTGGGATGGAGGGTTGCCAGGTCCCTGCTGGCCACCAACAAGGGATGGGGGCGTGTAAGGTTGCCAGATCCAGGTTGGGAAACTCCTGGAGATTTGGGGATGGAGCCTGGGGAGGACAGGGACCTCGGTGGGGCACACTGCCATAGAGTCCACCCTCCAAAGCAGCCCTTTTCCCCAGGGGAGCTGATCTCTGTCCTCTGGAGATGAGCTGTAATTCCAGGAGATCCCCAGGCCCCACCTGGAGGCTGGCATCCCCAGAGGGGGGATGCGCTCCTGCCTGGCATTTCAGGGCGCCTGCGGAGGGACCAGGGCTTTGAAGCTGGGTGTTCCCTGCAGGGTACAAGCACCAGCAGAACACATGGGAAGAGAATTCTCACAAGATGTGGTGTGTGTCCCCCATCCAGAAGCCGTTCCTAGACCGCTTGTTCATGCCCGAGTCCACTCCAGAGGGGAATGTGCCTACCGTAACATCCATCCGTCCATCTATTTATCTCACCTTTCTTCCCAAGGGGACCTCCTGATCTTCCCCTCCATCCTATCTTCACAGCAACCCTGTGAGGTTGGCTGGCTGGCTGCCTCCTTGGGTCGGTGGGGGTGGGGGTGGTACCGCTCCCGCCCTCAAGGAAGCACTGGCCACTCCTCTCACCCACTTGGCTGGACCCCTTTGGCAGCTTTTGGCAGCCGAGAAGGGCGAGGGCTGAGAGCACTGGGGACACATCCTCAGGCTTCAGAGGTGAGCAGGACAGACGCGTGCCCAGCCCAGCCTGGCTGCCCCCTCCCCAACTAGCTTCCTTCTCTGCTGTACTCTTCAGGAGCCCTTTGGCAACTTCGGGTTCGAGCTCACCAGGGACGCCAGGAGGGTGCCAAGTCCAGCTAGAGAAATTCCTGGAAATTTTTTTTTTTGGGGGGGGGGACACTCTAGGGAGGGCAGGGTTTGGGGAGGGGAGCAACCTCAGCGGGGTATATTGCCATAAAGTCCACCCAGTCTGAAGCTGCCGTTTTCTCCATGGGGAGATCCACCGTGGCCAGGAGATCTCCAGGTCCCACCTGGAGGTTGGTTGCCATAGATGCAAGAGATATGATTGCAAGTTGTGAGGAAGCTTCTCTGATGAACTTCCACAAGGGCACGCTCGCCCTCCATGGGGCCCCAGAACGGGGATGGGGGCGCGGAGGTCCAAAACAAGAACAGCTGCGGACTGCAACGCAGCTTCCTTCATCAGCGTCAGGAAAGGGGGAAAGAGGACACGCCTTCCTTTCCTCCTCTGTCCCCGCGGCTCTTAGGCTATTCAGCAGCAGCAGGGAAGAACACCCCCCCCACACACCAGTCTTCCCTCTAAGCTGAGTTAGCGTGAGCTAGGTCACAGTTTTTTAGCCTCCAGCTCACACATTTTCGTCTTAGTTCAGGAAGGATGGCTCCGGAGCAAACTAATTTATGCAACAGCCAAATCGCTCGCTCACAACTTTTATGCCAGTAACTCACAAAATAGAATTTTTGCTCACAAGACTCCACAGCTTAGAGGGAACATTGCCTCCCACACCAGCAATTACAGTCAGAAGTCCAGGCTACACAGCAGGTTTGCCTGAATCAAAGCACCACAATGAGGCAGTGGCGAGGGAGGGAAAAACGGGCATTTATGACCTTCCATCACCACCTAGTGGCCACTTAGGATATAGCCTCCGAAGCCCCTTTCCAATACTTTAAGTGGCTTTTTAAAAATCTGACTCTGCAGTTTGAGTGTCTGTGCAGACAGGCACAAAGGGAAACAAAGTTCTGGGACGTAGAAACCCCCACTATGGAGAAAACTTGACTTGGCTCCCATCCCCCCCCCCTTTTTGAGCAACCTGTGCAAGAGGTTACTTGCACAGGCAACCAAAACGGCAGCCAAATCCCTGCAAGAGCAAGCCCCGCAGAGGCAAAATCCTCTGCCCGGAGTCCCCAACAAGGAGGCTGAGCGGTGCAACCAGACAGCGGTGGCATGTCAGCCTTGTGCTGTTGCGTGGAGCCTCAGCAGAGATTGCAGGGGGGCAAGAAGTGGACATGGGGACAGGGCTGGCTCAAGGTGTTCCTGCGCCCTAGGCGAGGCTGCCTTATGGAGCAGATGCCAACCTCCCGGTGGGGCCTGGAGACCTGGAGACCTTTGGAGCCAGCCACCCTTTTGCTGCCGCCACCACCGCCTCCTCCCCCCCGCCGCCACCACCACCAAAGGGGGGGAGGAGGGGGGGAGGCACAGCTTGGCGCCCCATCCAGGGCCCGGCGCTCTAGGCGAATGCCTAGTTCGCCTAGTGGGTGAGCCGGCCCTGCATGGGGAGTGCTGGGGTTGGGGACAGGGAGGTAAAGGTAGTGAGTGAGGCATGGGGCTGTTATAGGGAGAAAATGGGCTCAGCGCAAAGGTCTACTGGAAAGGAGCTGGGTGTTTGAGAACTGCTTTGGATCCCTTCTATCTGTGCTTCATAATCCACACGCCAGAGGACTTCATGCTGTTTCTCAAACTCCCGCAGGGGAAGGCAGCACAAGCTCTTTATTCAATAAAGGAAGTACAGAAAGAAGCCAAAAGGCTTTTTGGCCACAGCATCCGATCCAGGTATTCCCCTACTGGACTCAGGGCCAATTAATTATGAAGCATCCCTGATGGAGCCCTTGCATTTGCAGGCTTTATCAAGAAAGTGCAC